TCGCCACCCCGCCTGCAGAAGGTAACAGATCACTGCGCCCTGAGGGCCGCGGATGTGCCGTGTCCTCTGACTCGGCGGCATAGCTCTCATCTCTTGAACAAGCCCAGGCCACGTGACCATGATGCTGTCATGGATAGTTGGCTGGCGCACCCAGCAGGTAAGCCAGAGACGAAGACACTCGCGAGGAAGTTTGCACGCTGGGTCCCTGCCAACTGCTTTCGAATCAATCAGCGTCGTGAGACATCGACCTGGCATCTTGGGTCCAATAGCGTTGCCAAAATTCCTGCGTAGTTGTGTCATGACGTCTCCGAATGCGCCGTGGAGCTGGTGCCCGTAGGCCCCAGCCGCTTGGGCTCCCTGCTGCTCCAACCTTGACGTAAGACCATGCCGACGAGTGGCTCTGGCATATTTGATAATTCGCTTGTGCATGGCTTTGTGCTTAGCTTGCCTAGCTGTCCGGCTGGCACGTGCGTGGCGAGGCCCGCCGCCGGGGTCGGCCCCCAGATATGGCGCCTGCGGTGCAGCTTTGACCACAAATCCATGGGCGCGAACTCTCCTCACAATGGCTTTGGCGTCGTCCAGCTTCGTGCACACAACAACGCTCTTCGGCGAGATGGACAAGCCCGCGCGCTGCATCGACCTGGATGTGTCCACCAGGCACCGCACGAGCTTGTTGCGCATCGTCTCGCTGGTACTCTTAATCGACTGGCTAAGGTCATCAGTCCACAGCCGCTGACACATACCCACGTGCACCGTCGTGAGCCGATGCATGACGTGGTACGTCGCGCACTTGGCGAATCGTGTGCCTCCGCGGAGGCCCTGGGCAATGGAACGCAGGGGAGCGAAGGGCTCCGAGTACGTGCCTGACTGGCGCAAACACCGCGCCGCCATGCACTGCGTCAACTCCAGACCTAATACCTCGGCTGGGAAGTCGAGCCGCATCGCAGCCCTGCCTACCATCAGCCACCCGATGGTGTCGTAGAACTGGCCTGCGTCCAGCAGACCGTTCCCGTGACTGATCTTGAGCCTCGCCGCAACTTCTTCGTCGATCGCTCTCAAGAAAACCTCGCGAATCGCTCATTTCCCTTGATAGCTGCATCCCAGTGAGCTTCACGCTCAGTGGTCCACTGCTTCACATATGACTCTCGTGCTTGCGACCGCACCCGCGAGAGGTGTGGAAGCAGCCCGATGATTCTGTCACCTGATACTTTCTTTGGTAAAAGAGTCCCAACGGTAAGTATAGTCTGGTGTGGCTATGTCTGGGTGGCCTCGCATGCACTGAGCAAAGCCGGCAACTCCTGCAAAGCCTCATCGGGTAGCCGAAGGAGATCGTGCGAACTCAAGCGGTCCACCCCCATGGCTGCCGTTGCCTTGATGTACCTCAAGGCTTCACGAAGGTCCTGCACGGTCAGCGGTGGCAACGACTCATATTGAACTCTCGTGCGGGTGTCACAAAAAAGTTCCCCAAGTGCTGCAAGCTCGATGCTGGGCCCGTCGCCCGCCAGACACGCGGGGGCCCAAACCTTCTCCCATTCACGACTCTTGTGGTCAAGAACGTCTCTCGGATGCAGTAGGGCCTGGCCGTCGACGATGACATCCTTGACCTCGGGCATGGGATCCTTCAACTTCTTGTGGGGGATCCCGGTGGCTGGTGCCGTCTCTGCCCACTCCCGAAACTCTGCCATCGCCTGACCGAGCGCCCGCCTCTGACTTCGATTCGCCAGCTTCTCGATCGCCTGAAGAGCTAACATCCAGAACAGCCAGTTCGCTGTCACGAAGATGTGCCAGCAAGTGGGTCCAGTACTCCCAAGGATACTGATCGGTCGGGCGGACAATCTGGAATGCTCGATCAGGGATATCTTCCAACAACCGTCTACCTGCTTCGTACAAAATATTCAATTGCCTGACGCCTCCTGTCCTCCGAAGATGTCGTGTATTACTGCTGATCACTGTGCTCGCCCGTGTCCACCAACTGCAGACGCGATCGCGTAGCGGTGCGACTCTAATCGGTGTAGCCTGCTGGACACGAGCCACTTGGAATTGAGGTGCCGACCCGCGTGACACTCCAGAGAAGACTTGCTTATGGTGCGAGTGTATGGATGCCTCGACCGTGCGAATCCAGCTGGCGTACAAGCCGCTCAACACAGCCGAATCGTTTGAGCCGAGGTGGTAGGCTATGGCCCTAGCAATCGCAGGAGCGGGGGGGCAGGCAGAGGCATGGGTGAACCCGATGCTCTGTCTTTGCTCATGCCAAGTACTGCTAGGGATGTGAAAATCGGGCTGCCACCTTAGCGTGTCGGACTGCTCCTTGGAAGATGACCCCTGGGCGGCTGGGTTGGGGAAATCCGACGGCTCGCGCGGGACTGAATTGACATCCTCTGACTGTCCGACTGTAAGAGCAGCCTCGGGGCACGAGAGAGGCGGGGCGGCCGCGGGTCTGAAAACGGTCTCGTCCGCCCAGGGGTCGTCCTCCGAGCAGCCCTCCCGCTCGTCGCCTGAGCAAACGGGTTCATCGCCGTCCTCGCAGTGGGTGTCCACGTAGCTGTGGGCCGAGGGTTGGGGAGGCAGGGGGGGGGGGGGGGGCGAGACCAAGGCCCGAGCCGCGATTGTCTTCCGCCCCCTCGTCGAGACCAAGCCCCGAGGAAAACCAACCTTTAAAACGCGCATCACGTTTCTGCTTCGCCTCCAACCTTGAAAACGCCCTCTTGGTCTTGGCCAAACCGCATTTGGATCCAGGCGTTGCCTGACAGAGGGGCTTGCAGACCTGAGGGAGGCGAGCAGGGAGATCAAGGTACCTTGTGTGCAACTGGGCGCCTTGGGACACTAACTCTATACTGAGACCGATATGTGGTTTCCATGGCACGGCGACGACGGGCAGAACGTGGCGAACATATGCACGTGCCGCGTGACTCACTATCAAATAATCCAAATGACTGGGTGCTTTTCCAGCTGCTGGCGTGCAAGTGATCTGTGCATCGGAGCGTGCAATCTGGCCTCCAACACGCTCCAACCATCCTGACCGAACTACGCTCTCTGGTGGCAGGTTCCAGTCTGCAGCTACGATCCATGGAATCTGTAAAGATCGCGGCAGACAGCCTAGCTTCCTGAGTCGGCCAACGTTGGCATCACGCAATCCTATGCCTGAGTGCCCGTAGAAGCAAAATATGGCCAGAGAAAAACTTCTCATGTGAGCGACGCACGGCACGAACCCGTCGTACATGTTGCCACGCTCAGCGCGTAGCCCACTTGCAGCACGCGCTTCAGCCAGTAATTAAACAGGCCGATGATTGCGAGTGAGTAGCCACTCGCCCCCTTCATTGCTGTGACTGTCCATCTGCTCGTCGGGCTTGATCCACTTGGACTTCGGCCTGGCGGGGTTCGCGAACAGCTTCAACGATGCCTGGCGAGCACGGGCAGACCACTTGCTCACAGCTTGCTTCCCAATGTGTGTCTCGCACACGGCTAGAAGATCATGACTGGACGACATTGCCTCGATGAAGTTCCAGGCCTTGTCGCCCATGCATGTGACGTTCGAGAAAAACATCCTTGTAGTGGTAGTTGTTCCAGTAGAAACACCGGCTCCCTCATGCTGCTGATTCGCCGCAACAGCGTCGGCACTTGCAGATCCTAGTCAAGAACCAGGCGTGCTTCTTGGCTTGGCCACGGCCTTCGGCACGGCTGCGTTGCCCTTGCCCAGCGCCTTGGCCGCCGACACCGACTTGAACCGCTCCTGCGACAGCCTGTCGGCCTCGGCCTTGAGCTCGCTCTCCGATGCCTGTGCCGTGGGCTGCGCTGTCTCCGTCGGCGCCGGTGCTGGTGACGAGCTGCCACTAGAGGCTCCACCGCCAGCGCCTTCACCTGGGACTCCAGCTGTGGCGCCCTCGGTGGTCTTGCGCTTCTTCTGCATCCTGCCAAGGACCTCCTGCTCGGCCTTGGCAACCTTCTCAAGGAACTGCTTGAGCTCCGCGTCCTTGGACTCGAAGCTCTGCTTCCACGTCTCCAGCTCAGACTTGAGCTGACGCAGCGCCTGTTTGTCGCTCTCCTCGCACTCCCAGTCCTCGAACTTGTCAAAGACCTCGGGGTTCATCTGAATGCTGATGGTCGGCGTCGAGCCGTCGGCGCAGGACGCTGGCCCCTCCGAGCCGCGGATGCCCTCCGCCTTGGCCAGGGCTGCGGAGGCGTCCTTCTTGGCCCGCTCTGCGATGACCAGCTCCTGGGCCCCGCTCTGCTCCTTGGCCTCGGCGGCCTGGAGCTGGGAGCGGAGTCTCAGCACCTGCGCCACCAGCTGCTCGTGCCGATGGCTGGCCGCCCGCCACGCCCCGTCAGCCCGCTTGACCGATTCGGCCGCCGTCTCACGAGACTCAGCGGGGAGCGTGGCGAGGCGGCTCCGCTGGGCGGCGAGCGCCGTCCTCATCTCGTCCTGCGCCGTGCGCAGGGCCTTCTCCAACAACTCGTCCAGCTGCGTGATCGCCAGGTCCTTGCTCTTGCGCCCCTTGTCGCGCGAGCGGTTGCTACCTACGCTGCTGTTCCCCCAGTCGGACTCGTCCTCGAAGTGCACATGACGAGGGCCGCGGGGTCTGAACAGCTTCTTGACCTGGTGATTGCATCCTGGGCACATCATGCCGTTGGAACGAAGCTTGCCATTGTACTCGCACTTCTGGCAGTTGCCGCAGCGTGTCCATGCCTTGGCACGCTGCGAAGACATCCCTGCTTTCGCGAACACTTGCAAAGGTGTCAAAGATGCAAGTGGTCACACTCAAGCACCACTCTGAGGTACAGGGAAGGACTCGGGCGGAAGTGAGTGTGCAGCAGGCCCCCAGGCCTCTGACCCACTTGCTCGAGCCCAAGCGGCTTGAGGGAGGAGGAGGAGGAGGAGGAGGAGGAGGAGGAGGAGGAGGAGGAGGAGGAGGAGGGAGGAGGAGGAGGAGGAGGAGGAGAGGAGGAGGAGGAGGAGGAGGAGGAGGAGGCAGAGGAACCCGATTTTTCTGCTCCCGCCCCAGGCGTGCAGGGCCACGGTTTCGCTGCCGCTCGCGTCGGACCTGAGCTGGAGGCGCACCGCCTCCGCGCCGCTCCCGCGCACCGCCGTGCCGGTGCCGGCCGACGAGCTGCGCGGCCGGGTGCAGAGCCTGCTGAACAAGGCGGCGCCTTGTGGCGTGGCCTCTCGGGGCCCGTCCGTCCTCCTCCTCCTCCTCCTGCTCCTCCTCCTGCTCCTGCTCCTGCTCCTGCTCCTGCTCCTGCTGAACAAGGCGGCGCCCTGTGGCGTGGCCTCTCTCAGGAGGGGAAAAAACACACAGACACAATGAATCGTCGATTCCCAGGAACATGTGGAAGAATATGGGAAGAGGGGGGGGAAGACAGACACCCCGAAAAAAGGTAGAAAAATGTAGGGATTCCTGTTATTTGTGTGTATTTATTTGCGTGTCTGTGGGCCCCTTCACTCTCGGGGCCCGTCCGTCCCTCCCCTCGCCCTTGCTGCGGGCGGCCTGTGTGCACCGTGCCGCACTGGGCCTCTCCCCGAGGCGCCCTCGATCCTCGACCCAGGAGCGGGACTGGTGCACAGTCTACAATCAAAAACCCTGATGAGGACGCGCGACTTTGCTCAGGGTACCCTTGCGTCCTTGCTCTTCCTTGCTCTTGCGTCCTTGGGGTTTTCGTCGCCCGCCCCCACAAAGATCCCAACTTCGGCTTCCAAGGGTCTTGCGTCCTTACCGCGCGTCCTTATTAGGGTTTTTGACTGTATTCTCCCCTGAGAGCCGACAGAGTACGCATGCACCGTGCCACGTTCGAGCGGGGCCCGACAGGAGTCCACGCACGGTGCGGTGTACGGGCGCCCCAGACCGCAGACGGGCTAACGGCGATGTAGGTGACGGCGATGTAGGTTTCGGTAGGGTGGGAACGCGCGGCTCGCGCTTTCCTACGCTTCGCTGTGGCGTGCTCGCTCGATCCATTCGCATATCCGAAATGTAGGAAAGTGGGATTTCGTGATTTCCTACAATTTGGTTCCCAACAGCACCGTTCAGCAACATCGCCTTTAGCCCGACCTTGGCCGGACATGGTGCGGTGTGTGGGCGCCGTGCTCGCAGCCCTCCCAGAGGAGGAGAGGGTGCCGACGGATTCCCAGATCCCAACCTACTCCAAGCGCCTTCCTGCTTCAAGAGCGGGTATGATGTTGCCGTGTTCCATGGTTGTCCGGGAGGGCCCGAACCCAATCTATGTTGTCCGCCTTCCTGCTTCATGCTTCTGCCCACCTTTTCCGACGGGCGTGTGCAGGCAAGGCGCCGAAACAAGGACCGCCTCGGGCTCGGGAGGGGCTCTGGCTTCCTGGCGGTGCCCTTGACCTCGTTCGGGGGGCTTGCTCGAAGCCGAGGCTCGCCGTGGCCAGAACAGCGCTTTCTTTCTCTGTTCAGCGTTCCTTTTGGTAGCACGATGGCTGTATTCGGAACGCACCCTGGAGAGGTTTGGTGAGCAGCGGTGTCTGCACGATCGAATGCGGTTACGGAAAGAATTGTGACGAAAACGGGCAGCAGTTCCTGTCCATTTTGACCAGGACTCGTTGTCAGCGTCGCCGCCGGCGTGGTCCCTTTGGGGCAGAAGGTCGCCTGCCCAATGGCCGCTGTCGCTTTTGGACAGCGTTTGCTGTTGGGCATTGCACCTTTGTTCCGTACTCAATTGTGGTGCGCCAAACCTCCTTCGCCGTGAAGCAGAGCCAGGTACGGAAGGAGCTGTGACAAAAACGAGTAGCAGTTGGCCGCAGCTCGACGGCTGCTGGCAACTCCTGCGTGTAGCCGAGCGCGCGGGATGATGCAACCTTCTCGGCCGACGACGAAGAAGACGACGACGACACGACGACAACAACGGACGACGACGATGACGACGACAACGTTCGCGCAGTTCGCGCGTGACCCTTTGCCAGCGTGACCTTTGGTGCGGGCCCACTGGGGCCCCCCGATCGCCGAACGTGGTGCGGTAGTAGCGTCTTGCGCGCTTGTGTCTGGCCCCCCCGCGGCCCTCAACAAAGCCGCGCACCAAATGTCACGCTTACCCAGGGTCACTCTTGCGTGCAGTCGAGCGCGCAGGGTCTGCGCGCGTGTTGTTCGCGTGCGGTCCGCGCGCGGCAGCAGAAGCGGGTTTTTCTGGGTGGTGGGGTCGAGCAGAGCGGTGGAACAGTGCAGATCCGGGTAGGGTGAGTGGCGTCGGATGTCGCCGATTCGTGTAGAGCGAGCCCAGTGGAGCCAGAGCAGAAGAAAGTGGAGTCGACTCGAAGGGAGTAGTTGGGAGTCGAGTGGAGTAAGATTCCAATCTGTAGCACCCCGCAGTTGCGGATAAGAGTGAGGGGGCGGGCGCGGCGGAAGGTCGCGGGTGGGTCGCGGGGAATGTCGCGGGTGGGTCGCGGGCGGGTCTCGTGGGCGGGTCGCGGGCGGGTCGCGGGTGGGTCGCGGGGTGGGTCGCGGGGTGGGTCGCGGGGTGGATCGCGGGTGGGTCGCGGGTGCGTCGCGGGCGAAGACGACGACAACAATCAGCAGCAACGGCCACAACAGCAACAGCACCACCAACAACAACGCCAACAACAACAACAACAGCAGCAGCAGCAGCAGCACCACCACCAACAACAACACGAACAACAACAACAGCAGCAACAGCAACACTCCGCATCGCGGAGCCCCACTTCAGCCACGCGCGCAGAGACTTAGTGACCGTTCGGCCCCCTCACTCTGATAATCAACATGCGGGTGTATTCGAGCAGAGCCTGGTCGACTGCAGGCTAGGAGTTAGTGCAGTGGAGGGTAGAGTAGAGTCGGGTATAATCGAGTAGTGGAGGCGAGTATAATATGAGTCGGGCAAGCTAAACTACCTACATCAGGACTAGTGGGAGCATTGCTCCAGTTTTCTGATGTGATCCGCGTTGCAGTCTTGATGATTCCCTACCTAGGCTCTGCCTAGAAGGGTTCTTACTCTGTATGCTTCAAGGGCCGGGCAGTGCAACTCGCCCCTGGCGGTTCCCCCAGTATCCGCCCCGCGGTTCCCCCAGTTACGTCCCCCTAGCTTAGCGTTGCTTATCTCATCTTAGCTTAACTCATGTCATCTTAGCTTAGCTTAGCTTCATCTTAGCTCAGGATTATCTTAGCTTAGCTTACCTTCATCTTAGCTTCGCTGAGCTTTAGCATAACAGAGCACACCATAGCATAGCATAGCATAGCGTATCATAGCATAGCGCAGCACAGCATATCATAGCATCGCCTAGCATAGCATATCACAGCGCAGCATAGCATAGCATAGCATAGCATAGCATAGCATAGCATAGCATAGCATAGCGCAGCACAGCATAGCATAGCATATCATAGCATAGCGCAGCATAGCATGGCATATCATAGCATAGCATAGCAACTAATGCTGCTTTCCTAGGGGCTCCAACTTCTACGTAAGGTCGCACTGGGGTAATTTATTTCATACTCGCGCAGTTCATCATCCTTCGGGGCGATCGTTGTCTCGCTTTCTCTCTCTCTCTCTCCCTCTCTTTTTCTCGTTCTTTGGTCATCCATTCTGGGAAGCGCCGCTCATTGCCCAGGTGTGCCCCGAGAACATTGCCCAGATCGTGACCAAGCTCTCGTCAGTGCAGGTGTCCAGCTGCGAGCAGCTGGAGACGATCATTGAACTTATATTCAAGAAGGCCATAACCTTCGCGCGGTTACTTCGAACCTCCCATCTTCGTGATACCTGCTTGAGTTCAGATGCAGCTTGGACCCGTGGAGGAGGAGGAAGAGGAGGAGGATGAGGAGGAGGAGGAGGAGGAGGAGGAGGAGGAGGAGGAGGAGGAGGATGATGATGAGGAGGAGGAGGAGGAGGAGGAGAGGAGCAGGGGAGGAGTAGAGGAGGAGGAGAGGAGGAGGAGGAGGAGGAGGAGGAGGAGGAGGTCCGTAGCCATTTTGGCTCAAGTCCGTCGCCATTCGGCTCAGACTTGGCCTTAGTGGCGAGGGGGATCGGCGGCCCCCACCTCTCTCCGTTCTTCGCCCGCGCCCGCGCCGCCAGGTTCCCGGCGCTGTGTAATGTCAGCGGGCTGGACTTCTTCGGGTTGGAATTGCTGCCTGCAACTATCACAATTTCGGCTTCATAGCGCGCTGCCGACAGGCAGGGTGCAATGGCCAAGGGCCCAAGAGCGCTCAGATGGTGCCGAGTGCGGGTGCGCTTTGGCGTGTGCCTCGTGGTGTGTGGGCTCAGCCTTCCCCCCCCGCCGTCCGCTCAGAGGCTCCTCGTCGCAAGGCCGTGTCTTGGAGCAAGGGCAACGTCGGTGGGGGGGCGGGGAAGTCCGCAACTCGACGCGTCCCAGACAAGTGTATGGTTGGATATGTCCGATGATCAATTGGATGCCGCCGCAGCTGTTTTGTCTCAGCCCATGCGTGATCAGATCGAGCATGTGCGGTGGAAGCGAGCGCATCGTTTCGAGGGGCTGCTGTCTGTGCAGGAGGCAAGGGAGTTTCAGCGGGCCATCGACGCCAAGGCTGGCGAGTTGCAAAAGTCCAAGGCGGCCTACGAGCGGGCTCGTGCGGCTGTGCGGAAGGCTACGGAGCAGTTTGCAGCGGCGAGGGCCAATATGCATGAGACGGATGCGGAGCTCAAGCTGATCGTGGACGAGGCCAAGGCCAAGGCGGCGAGAGCGCCTGTACTGCAGGGCGCAGAGACGGCGGCTGCGGTTTCGGCGGCGGCGCATGTGGCGCAGGTGCTCGCTGAGCATCCAGGCTGGGAGTCGCAGGTCGGCATCGCCTTGGCCGAGCCGCTCGCGGCGCTGCTGCAAGCGCTGGCTTCGCACAGTGCGCCGCCTGCGGCTGCTGCCGCGCAGATGGCGGTCCTTGCGGCTGCTGTGGCGGGCCAGGCGGCTGGAGGCGGTGCCGTGGACCCCGCGACGGGTTCGGCAGCGGCGGTGGCGACTGTCGTTGGTGGGTCCACGCCTTCATCTGATCAAGAATGGGATTCCGTGTTGTTGGCCTTGCAAGGGGCCGACATTCTGATGGGTCCTGGAGATCGTCAGTCGTTCATCAGTGAGTTGCAGGAGGCAGCGGCCAAGAAGGCCAAACCATCTGTGGCAGGAACGTGTTCCTGACGATCGAGGGCGACGGGAGGCTAGACGTGTGAAGATTTGGAAAATTGTCTGTATGAGTGTCAATGTATACTCGACCTTCAGCGACATGATGGCGACAGAGGACGCATCTGCGCGTAGATTGTTGCTGGAGGAAGCTTGTGTCTTAATGGTTCAGGAGGCGCATTTGTCTGCCAGTGCAGGTAATGAGGGGTCGGCGCGTCTCAGGGCTCTGGGATGGACCTGTATGGTTTCGTCTGCTGTTGACTGCACTCCAGGGCGCAGAGGCAGTGGCAGTGGTGGGCTACCGACTTGTTGTTCGCAGCAGTTTGGCTTTGATATTATTAAAGGAATTGAATGTACAATTGTCCCTGGCCGTGCTTTCGTTGCCTGCGCTCTGGCTTCTCAGCGGCTGGTGTTGTGCTCGTGAATGTGTATCTCATCGGCAGGATCGGCATGGCGGCTGATAGTCTGGAGATTATGTTTCGTGTCGCAGAGTGTGTGCGCAGGATTGGAAGGCCGTGCGTCGTTGCGGGTGGCTTCAGTGACGAGCCGTCCGGCCTGCAGAATGCTGGAATCATGGATTGGTCTTGTGCTTCTATTGTGGCGCCTTCGCAGGGCACGTGTGCGCCAGCTCGTCGTGCGATTGGCTTCTTTCTGGTCTCTGGCGGTTAGCAGGATTGCCGAGTGTCGATTCGGTCTGAGGTGCCACTGAGTCCACGTGTCGCAGTGTGTCTCGGGATTACCTCGACGGCGGGCAAGCCCAAGATGCGCGTGATGCCCGTGCCTCGTCTATTCCCCGATGTGAGGCCTGCGGGGTGCGCGAGATCATGTTGGGATGAGATGCGGGCCGATGCCGGGGCCCGCGTGCCGCGGGGTTATGTATCGGGCCAGGATCTGTCGAGGGCTTGGCATGGCTTGACCGAGGCTGCCGAGATTCAGTGGCTATGTATATATATATAGATATATATGTGTGTGTGTGTACAGTTGTTCAGATATCGAAGCAAGATGCGGGCAACATGAGCGGTTGAGGGAAACGTGTGCTACCCGGGTTGGTGGAGGCTTCGCCAACGTTGCCGCCGAAGTTCCTTCGGGTGTCGCCTGCCGTGTTGGGGCTTCGGAGCGTAGGTGTGTCGCTCAGTTTCGCTTCGTGTTGGGCTCAGCCGCTGATTTGTATCATTGCGTTGACATCAGTTCGCAGGTTACTCGGCAAGGCACCTGCGACAGTTATGGCCTCTCCTGACGGTGATGTCGGCAAATGGGGGGGTGTCTTGTCCTTCGTGCCGACCGAGGCGCCGGGGGCCGAGGCCTTGAAGCTGCTCGCGAGTAGCGTGAAGAGACGCACATCGCAACTGGCCGAGATAAACATGTCGAGCCGCGGCAAGGAGTTTAGGACATGGGTCACGGCCCAGGCGGGCTCAGGTGCTGGAGGCTTGCTTGCCATGACGCGTGAAAAAAGGAGGCCACGGCCCCGCGTGCCCCCGACCGTGAGAGGCGGCATCTTCCTGTGCACAGGCAGCGTGAGATGGATTTGCTTCAGCAGTAGTGGTCAAGATGGTGGAAAGTGGGGCAATGACGCGAGAGTGTAAGCTGGCCCGCGGACCTCGGTGTTCGGCCTCCCAGGCCTGGCGTCGAGCTGATGCGTGAGGTCTTGATGACTTTCAAGATGACGCCTGGGGTTGGTTCTGACTCTATTAGGCCCAGGCAACTGCTGGAACTTGACAATGAAGGACTGGAATGCTTCGTCGATTTGATTCTGGCGATGCAAGCTTCTGCATGCTGGCCGACGTTTTGCACGAGGATTGCGTTTCAGCAGGGGTGATTGGGGGGAGTTCGGCCGATTACATTGATGCATGTGGTGGCGCGTGCGCAGGCTCGTCTCAGGAGGCCTCTGGCGGTGTCTTGGGAAAAGGGAGAACAGGAGGTCCTACTTCTGGGCTTGCGCGGGGAGGGGGAGGGGAAAGGGGGGCGGGGGGGGGGGGGAGGGGGAGGAGGGGGATCTCGACGAGGGGGAGGGGGGGGGAGGGGAGAGGGGAGGAGGGGGAGGAGGAGGGGAGGAGGGGGAGGAGGGGAGGAAGGGAGGAGGGGAGGGGGGGGAGGAGGGGGAGGCGGGGGAGGAGGGGGAGGAGGGGGAGGAGGGGAAAAGGGGGATCTCGACGAGGAGGAGGAGGAGGGGGGAGGGGGAGGAGGGGGAGGAGGGGGAGGAGGAGGGGAGGCGGGGGAGGAGGGGGAGGAGGGGGAGGATTGGGAGGAGGGGGAGGAGGGGGAGGAGGGGCAGGAGGGGGATGAGGGGGAGGAGGGGGAAAAGGGAGGGGGTGGGGATGTGGAGGAGGGAGTGGGGGGGGGGGAGGAGGGTCCGTATGCACTTTCACCCACATTCCGGCGCACCCCTCACACGTTTCGTGGCCCCATAAGGTGCTCCACCCAAGGCCCCAGTGGCAGGGTCCGCATAGAGTTCCATATCCATTTTGGCGCACCCGTCACACGTTTTGTGGCCCCATAGGATGCTCCACCCAAGGCCCCAGTGGCAGGGTCTGCATGCAGTTCCACGTTCATTTCGGCGCACCCCTCACACGTTTCGTGGCCCCATAGGGTGCTGCACCCAAGGCCCCAGTGACAGGGTCCGCATAGAGTTCCACCTCCATTTCGTCGCACCTCTCACACGTTTCGTGGCCCCATAGGGTGCTCCACCCAAGGCCCCAGTGGCGGGGTCCGCATGCAATTCCACTTCAATTTTGGCGCACCCCTCGCGCGTGTCGTGGCGTCAAAGGGTGCTCCACCGAAGGCCCCCGTGACAGGGTCCGCATGCAGTTCCACCTCCACTTCGGCGCACCCCTCACACGTTTCGTGGCTCCATAGGGTGCTCCGCCGAAGGCCCCAGTGGCAGGGTCCGCATGCAGTTCCACCCCCATGCAGGCGCACCCCTCACACGTTTCGTGGCCCTATAGGGTGCTCCGCAGAAGGCTCCAGTGGAAAAGTCCGCATGCAGTTCCACCCTCCCCATCTTGGCGCACCCCTCGCACGTTCCGCGGCCCCATAGGGTGTTCCACCAAAGGCCCCAGCGGCAGCGTCCGCATGGTCTAACCGTTCCAATTTTGGCACACCCGTCACACGCGTCGTGGCCCCAGAGAGAGGATCACCGATGACGATACCCACAACTGCGTTGCACACAGCTGCACATGGCTGGGTCCTTCGCCAGAATAATGTTTGTCCTACTGGTCCGTCTCCTCATCCTCACGTCCCCCTCCCGCTCCGCCTCCTCACCTCCTCTCCAAACGAAACTTCAGAACCCCAAGAGAACTTCAGAATTTCAGAAACCTGCAAGAGTCACCAAAACCTTTCAGGCCCCCCCAAACACTCATTCGTAAGCTCTTCCTGCCTCTCCTCCCCTTTCCATTCTCGTACTCCAATCCATCCACCTCTTCCTCGTCCTCGCTTTTCATCCTCCTCCGACGTCTTGTTCTGTGATGCTGCGACCTGGTGTGAATCCTTAGGGTTCGGTTCTCCTCCCACTTCTGCCTCCTCCCTTCCCCTCCCGTTTTCTTATCCTCCCCTTTTCGCTTCCTCCTCCTCCTCCTCCCTCATCCCCCTCCGCGGCTTTGCGAGGGCTCCTCCCGGGGCGCCCCCCTGGCTGAGGCCCTGGCCGAGCCGCACTACTGCGAGACCTACGCCGACCTTGTGTTCGGCCTCAAGGCGGTCTTTCCGGAGATCTGGAGGAGGAGGAGGACGAACGGGCGGAGGAGGAGGAAGACGAGGAGGAGAATGGAGGATGGAGGACTGAGGATGGAGGATGAAGGATAGAGGAGGAAGGATAGGTGATGATGATGCTGATGATGATGATGCTAATGATGATGCTGATGATGATGATTATGATGATGATTATGATGATGATGACGATGACGATGACGATGACGATGATGATGATGATGCTGATGATGAAGATGATGGTGCTGGTGATGGTGATGATGATGATGATGATGGTCGTGGTGATTGTTGATGGCGGTAGTGGTGTTGATGAATATGGAGCTGACGATTTATGATTGTGGTGGCGGTGGTGTTGGGGTGGTTGAGGTGGTGGCGGCGGTTACGATGATAGTGACGATAATGACGATGATGATGACAATGACGATGATGATGCTGCTGATGATGACGATGATGATGCTGCTTCCGATGACGATTATGAATGTTATCAGAATGCTGCTGATGATGAGGAGTATGAGGATGGGGATGATGATGATGATGATGATGATGATGATGATGATGATGCTGATGATGATGATGATGATGATGATGATGATACTGATGATGACGATGATGCTGAGGATGCTGATGCCACTGATGATACTGATGATGATGACGATGATGGTAATGCTGCTGACGATGATGAACATGATGTTAAGGCTGCTTATGATGATGCTGCTGATGATGTTGATGATGCTGAGGGTTATGAGGTTGAGGACAAGGCTGAGGATGATCATGATGATGATGATGGTGATGCTGATGCTGGTAACGACGACGACGATGATGATGATACTGATGATGATGATGATGATGATGATGATGATGATGATGATGATGATGATTGTGGTGATGACGATGATTGTGGTGATGGCGGTGGTGACGATGATGATGCTGATGATGATGATGATGATTGTGGTGGTGGTGGTGATGATGAGGATTCTGATGGTGATGGTGATGACGATGACGATGATGCTGATGATGATGATGATGATGATGATGATGTGACGATAATGATGATGATGATGATGATGATGATGATGATGATGATGATGATGATGATGATGATGATGATGATGATGGTGATGCTGCTGCTGCTGCTGATGATGATGATGATGATGATGGCGGTGCTGATGATTATGATGCTCAGGATGATGATGCTGATGCTGACGACGATGATGGTGATGGTGATGCTGACCTCTGCTGCTGATGATGATGCTGATGCTGGTACTGATGCTGATGCTGATTATGATGCTGCTGATGATGACCATGATGATGATGATGATGATGATGATGATGATGATGATGATGATGATGATGATGATGATGATGATGATGATGATGAAAAATGATGATGTTGATGATGATGATGATGATGATGATGATGATGATGATGATGATGATGATGATGATGATGATGGTGATGATGATGATGATGATGATGATTGAGTTGTGGTGCTGCTGATGAGATGATGATAATGGTGGTTGGGGGTGGTGTGATTGATGAGGATGAGGTGATGATGATGCTGATTACGTGATGATGATGTTGATGATGATGATGATGATGATGATGATGATGATGATGATGTATGCTGCAACTCGTGCTGCTGGCTCTGGGCTGGCTGCTGCTGCTGATGATGGATGATGATGATGATGATGATGAGATAATGATGATGGTGATGATGATGCTGCTGATGATGATGATGATGACGATGATGCTGATGCTGCTGATGTTGATGCTGATGCTGATGCTGATGCTGATGCTGATTCTGACGCTGATGATGATACTGATGCTGATTTTGATTTTGATGATGATGATGATGATGATGATGATGATGATGATGATGATGGATGATGAGGTGATGGTGATGTGTTTTGATGGTGATGCTGATGATGATGATGATGATGATGATGTGATGATGATTGATGCTGATGCTGTGATGATGATGATGATATGATGATGATGATGATGATGATGATGATGATGATGATGATGATGGAGATGATGTGATGATGATGTGTGATGATGATGGATGATGATTGATGATGATGATGATGAGATGATGAGTGAGATGATGATGATGATGATGAAGTGAGATGATGATGAGATGAGGAGGAGGAGGAGGAGGAGGAGGAGGAGGAGGAGGAGGAGGTGGAGGAGAAGGAGGTGGAGGAGCAGGAGGGCTGGAGGGCTGGGGAGGTGCAGAAAGGAGAAGAAAGATGAGGTAGCACCCTCCCTCCCTGCCGCAAAGAGGCCCCCAGAGGTCCACAAGCCCCTGGAGGCCCCCAGACGCCTTTGGAGGCCCTAATCCTTTTAAGGATCCCGTCTTTCCCCAAGCACCCTCCAAGCGCCCTCATACTACCCTCCGCCCCCAATCCCTCCCGCTCCGGATCCCCTCCCCTCCTCATCCCCCCTTTCCCCTCTGCTCGCCCCCCCACCCCTCGAGGAGTTCCCGGGCCCCTCTGGCGGGAAGCCCTTGACCTTCAAGTCCGCGGTGCTGAACATTTGCCAGGGCGAGTTCGAGGCGCTACTGCTGGAGCCAGAGCCGCCCAACAAGGCGCCATCGCCGCGCCCTCCTCGGCCAGGGCGTCGTCGTCGTCGTCGCCGCCGCCGCCTCCGCCGCTGTCGCCGTCGTCGTCGTTGCGGTCGTCGTCGTCGTCGTCGTCGTCGTCGTCGTCGTCGTCGTCGTCGTCGTCGTCGTCGTCGT